TTTCAGACTCCTCACTTCCTGTAATGCACACAATGATAGAGCTCAACACAGCCTTGATAAAATGGACTCGATTTAATGCATCAAATGTTAACAGGAATACATCTATGAGTATGCTGTAACTTCCTTCTTCTATGTTCTCAAATGGCTTTCAGATCAGGCACTGCTGAGCTAAATAAGTGAACTGTAAATACATACTGCACTGCAGATGGCTAGAAGTATTTGTGCATCTTTTCAAGCCACATTCCCTTCCCAGTGCAGCTATTTATGCTCTGACAAAACTATTTAAACTCGAAACAAAGCAACTGAAAGATTTATGAAGTGGCAGTTCACTGTGACTTAGAAAGTTTATACTATGGGTTTATTATGCTGAACCAGCAGGTTTTGGGGTATGCTTAAAAAAAATTTAGCTCTTGTTTCCTGACAAAGATTTCACAAACTTCCAGCCCAAGATTCGCCATTAAAGTCAGTTTTATCCAGGTATAAAGATAGAAGAATTGGGCCCTCACTCAAATCAGTATTCCTTAAGTAAATGAAAAGTAGATGTTTGTTTTTTGTTTTTTTGGGGCAGGTGGGTGGGAGGAGTCACCAGGAGATGAAAGTTTCCCAGGTGCTTTTCCCCACCCACACCCCGCTATCCAAATACTTTTCTATTTAAAAAATTCTTAATGGGAACCAATATTCAAATTTTTAAAAAAGAGCATATCTAAAGATGGCTGTTTTAACCATATATGCTCTCTTTTTTCAGAACAGTAAGAGAAATTCATTTCCATTTTCAAGCAGTGTATTTTGATATTGGAAACCAGCACACTGTTTTGAATATGGAAGTCCCTGCACAACGCACAGTGCAATACTCCAAACAATATATATTAATAACTCACCATTAAAACCATAAACTGCTTTAAGCCAAGAACAAAAAGGAACACAAGGAATACTGTACCTGTTACATTTTCGGCAGTGGTGTGAACGTGGTGCTTTGTAAGACTGGCACACTTTACAGTACTGGACATACATGCAGTCCTGAGATTTTTCCTTTAAGCATAAGAAGAGGCATATCAGAAACAAATACGTAATTCTACTAGCAGAGTATGTCTTAGCACTTTCATACTATGATGCTTCTGTGATTTGCTTTGTCTGGGTGTGGTTGGTTTCCACCCTTTTTAAATGGTAGGTAGAAGAGTGTATGAGAGAAATCAACAAAACTTTTGGCTACCATTCCAATTAACTCTTTGTTAATTGTAATGCTTTACAAAAGAAATACATTTCCACCTGAAAAATGTAGGTCCTCACCCTGCAAGTTACTCTGCACAAGCAGGTTTCTGCGCAGGTCAACTTGTGTGGAACTGGCAGCGCTGAATCCTTAGAAATTTGTTTCTTTATATGTGCCTGTTTTTCTCTCTCAGTTCTGGACCAATCCGGACCCTGAAGGAGGTTAAAGTAGCCTTAGCGCTGCTCTAATATATGCCAACTGGTAATGGCCTGTAAGTGTATTTTATCCTACCAGTGATCAATAGGGCAATGGTTCTCAAACTAGGGCCACCGCTTGTTCAGGGAAAGCCCCTGGCGGGCCGGGCTGGTTTGTTTACCTGCCGCATCTGCAGGTTCGGCTGATCATGGCTCCCAATGGCCTCGGTTCGCTGCTCCAGGCCAATGGGAGCTGCGGGAAGTGGCGCGGGCCGCGGAATGTGCTGGCCGCCCTTCCTGCAGCCCCCATTGGCCTGGAGCTGCGAACCGCGGCCAGTGGGAGCTGCGATCGGCCAAACCTGCGGACGTGGCAGGTAAACAAACCGGCCCGGCCCGCCAGAGGCTTTCCCTGAACAAGCGGCGGCCCTAGTTTGAGAACCACTGCAATAGAGTGCAAGGAGTTCCAGCCAACCTCCTCGTCAACCCAACATGCTCTCGAGAGCAAGAGGAGGGGCCAGAAGGGGGATGGCATAAAGCCTGTGATTTCCCTATATAAAGTAGAATGCCCAGCTACCCTGTTAGGGCAGCTTTAGGGTCCCCCTACCTCACCTTTCTATTGAAGAGCACTGTAAAGCCAGAACCGGGACCACTCCACTGGCACACTGTACCTAGGGTTGTCAACTTTGTAATATTTAAAAACTGAACACTCCAACAGGAGTGCCGGAATCTCCCCTTTCCCTGAGGCCCTACCCTAGTTCGCTCCTCTTTCCCCCTCTCCCCCATCGCTCGCTGCTCTTCCCTTCTCTCCCACACCTATGTCCTGGTTGGGAGGAACTCACCTGCAGAGCGGAGGCTGGGAGCTGCAGCCACCTGACACAGGTAGGAGGCAGCCCTGGCTAAGTAGGAGCTGGCACGGGTGATGACTCGGCACCTCCCCCACCTGCAGTAACTGGACTTCATGTGTCTGGTCAATGGGTCAGACTGGACACTGTCAGGTCCCCTTTTTGACTGGACTGAAAACAGGCCCCTGGCCACCCTAGTTGTACCTCTGCCCTTCGATTGTGTGTGAATAGTTTTTCAATTAGCTTGAGGAGATTGTCAACTGAGAACAAAAGAAATCGAACCTCCTCCCTTAGCTTACAGAAGTGTGTTGAATATATGGCCATGGAGCTGGATCCAGCCCACATGATGTATTTATATGGCTCACATAACATATTCACATTCACCAGAATCTAACTTATTTTTTTAAATTAAAGCTTAGTTTTCTAACCTTCACGATTGCAGACAATCTTCCAAATGTGAACCAAGTGTAATAGATACTGACGTCTGCATGAGTGTGCAAACAGCCTGAAACAATGACTCACAGAACACCACTGTTCCCTATTAATCTGACTGAAGTATCAACAATAAAGTCGACAATAACACTACAGAGTCAACATTAATTATTTAACCACTCATCATTTTAGTGGATGGAATGGGGATAAGAGGCGGGACTGAAGCACATTAGATTGGAAACTGGGAGTTGCTGGAGCAAAGGAAATTCAGAGACGAGAAGAGGGTAGAAACTGAAAGGCTGATGGTGAAGGAAGAGAAACAAAAGGCAGAGCTCGCGGACGCCCAAAGGACAGATTTTCTCACTGAGCAATATGACAAGAAAGCACTTACCAAAAAGACAAGAAACAATAACCAAATGTTTAATTTACTACATAAAACCATATTCTCCTCCTTGATCTCTGTGGAAACCTCCTACTGACAGAGAATTTTCTATAACATATTTTGGGTAGTATATGATCCTGAATTTATACACCAACCCACTTATCATATTGAAATGGAATCCAACCCTCTCCTTCCAATGAGTTTGACACTCCTGGCTTACAACATGCTACTTTCACAGAATTTCTTAATCTATGCTGACGAGGCAAACGAGGTTTGAGTTTAATTTCTGCATTGCCAGACTACTAGCAAAGATGAATATTAAGATTTCATCATGAAAATTAACTATTAGTGAAAGTTTATTTTATTTCCTTACCGGTTTCCATCCTAAAGGAACATATCCAGGGCCAATAAACATGGCATTGAAGTAATTGTAAAGAATCATGACAGTCCAGTTTATGAGCATGATGAAATTCACACTTCCTCCCGTTGTGTCCAAAGGCCAATACCACATAACAGCATCTATCATAGCCATAGTAGAACATATTGCTATCACACCAAGGGCTATGATGGGGCCCCAGTGACATAGTCTCTTCAGTTCCTGGAGATTCTCAAACCTGATAACTGAACACAATGCACCCATTTTGAAGAAGAGTATTTTCCTATTTCAAATAATATTCAATGTTCCTATTTTTAACTACAGTTTTCCATTTGTCATAAGTTTTCATATCTTCAATAACAGTCATGCCTCCAAATACCAGATAGTTAGTTGTGATCAAGACATTTCTAATGTTTGGAAGAGTCATCAGATGTAGGAGCTCTTCACATCCATCTCAAGAGGACGATTTGCTTCTATACCTGACCTAGAAACACAGAAATAGGATAATTTCAAAATAAAGGAAAACAAAATGTGTTCTGTGAGTCGATTGCAATGATAGAATTCAATGCACAGCCCAGGGAGTTGTGTTGTCACTTAAGCCAAGTTCCTATGAAATGATTACTTTCACATTGCTTTGATTTTTATTGTGATATTAATGAGAGCATACCTAGATCCTTGAATGGGTGTCTCTTTTATACTTTTAAAATCTAAATAAAATGCAATAATATCTGTTAAAATCATGAAACACCACATCAGTCATTTGGGATAACTCACAAGAGACCCACAAAACAGGATTAACAAATCAGTGCATGTACAGCAGGAGACCATCCGCCAGTGACAGCATTTCTGCTGTAGGGAAGCTGTCTCGTAAGAGCCAGAGAGGCAGTAACTGCAACAATACGCAGCAGCATTCAGCAGAGCCTGTCCTGCACCGAGCCCAGAGATCTGGATTACCTTCTCCAGGTGCTATAGTCAGGCTATTGGGAGAAGACATCTGAGCACCAACTCTGGCTCCCACATTCAATGGCTTATGTTCTGCACCAACCCCGGTGGATGGGGGGCCCTTCTGCCTGCCCCTGGGTTCCCCTCACACCCCACCCTTTGCCAGCCCAAGAGCCCAGCAGGGGACAGGTGGGTCCCCGCCGTACCGCTATGAGCCGAGCCCAGAGCAAGGATCCTACTGGGGCCACCCCTCCCCCATGCCTAGAGTCCCTCTGTAGCCACCCCTCCCCCCAGCCCTGGATACCCCTTTGGCCTCCCCTCCCCCCTAGATCCCCACCTCAAGTAGCCTTCCCCTCCCCCCAGCCCCGGAGCCCCCTGTAGCCTCTCCTTCCCCAGCCGCCTCCCCCAGCTCACCTCAGCCCCTCCGCAAGCTCCTGCCATGCCATGCCATGCCCCGCTGAGCGCTTCCCAGCATTTCCGGCGGCGCTCTCACGTGACCCGGAAATAAGACTCTTCTCTTCCGCCCTCACTTCTTTTCTTCCGGCCCTGGCGGTTACGCTCAGAAGTGGGTCCCCTCGGAAACCCTCCTGCCGATGTTGATTCCGGACGCAGTTCGTGGTCCCTGAGGGGACGATTATTCCCCGGGCCCGGGTCAGGGACTCGGCGGGTAGCGGGAGGGGGATGGGCAGCTCTCGGCGCTCCAGGGAAGGCGGCATCGCGGGGTCAGCGTCGGAACCATTGTCAGGGGGTTGCCGATTCCGGGAGGGACGCTTTTGGCTGCGGCACAACGCGGAAGCCTCTTGGCCGTGAGCAGCTGAGGCCGGCTTCTCCTTACCGCCGCCGTCTCCGGCCCGGACCCTGTTGCTACCATGTCCTCCGACTTCGAGGGCTACGAGCAGGACTTCGCGGTGCTGACAGCGGAGATCACGGGCAGGATCGGGAAGGTGCCCAAGCTGCT